GTCCTAATGATGTAGCTCAGAATCAATGTGTCGTGGTGAGAGCTGATGAGCCTGGCGAGTGGCTGAAGCATCAGCGGAAGCGTGGGGTAGGCTTTTTCTGTTAATGGTGCGATACAAGGCCTCGTTATTGTAGGTGAGACTGTCTTGTCGGGGGATTATGTCGGCTCTAGTAGAGCTCGGCTACGATGGTGGAGGAGCTGCTGGGGATATGGACCGGCTTGATGATGATATCCTAGAGGGCACTGCTGGCCAAGAAGAGCACGATGGAGCTGCTTCCGCTGCAGCCGTGGCTGAGGAGGTCGATGAAGGTGAGCTCGCGTTCGTTGGAAGCCCTCTGCTGTTTGTAAGTATGTTGTTGCCAGATGTGGCCGGTAATGTGGCGCTCTCGTCGGACGCTCCCAAGAAGGAGAAGCGCAAGACTCCCTATAAGTCCTTCATAAATCGCAAGAAGCAACGTACCGCGGAGTGATTTAGTCTCCAGCATTGATAGCTCATTGTATTCTACAAACGTCCTCGATAGTTTCTCGGCTACCCCTTGTCTGTGGAGTTGATCTAGTGGTGGGTCGAGTAGCCGTAGTAGCTGTGGTGGTTCGCATGCCCAGTAAGGAACTACTCTCATCGATAAGATCTACTAGACATCTGAACAAGCTCCTCAAGTCGTTGAAGAGAGGCCGGTGGGCTTCGACGGAGCAGGCTAGAGACCTACTCGACAAGGCCAGCATGCAGAACGTCGTTCCTGATGCTTTCACGTACAGCCAGGCTTTCTCTATGGACGCGTACAGTTGTTCTGAGATTAAGGCTCTGGTTAGTGGCAGTCTGCACATGCTGAACTCGGTTGTCGTGAACTCGGCCATCGCCTCCTGTGGACGTATGGGTTGTGAAAGTGAGGCAAGGGAGTTGTTACGGCTAAGTGAGGATAACAACATGGTTACCTGCCGAACCTATAATGCCTTCCTCTCGTTGCCGATGACTGGTTCGGCCGCTATGGATGTCTGGAAGGAAATGCCTCATCACATGAAGGATGCTTACACTCTCCAACTACTCCTATACCGGCTCGCTCAAGACGGTTATCCGCCTTCTGCCTACGAGAATCTATTAGCCGAGGCCCGTGATGTGATAACGATTGATCGCCAGCATCTGGCTACAGCAGTTTCGGGGTGTATCCGAGCCGGATACGCTGCCGATGGCCTCGCACTGCTGTCTGCTAGCGGCGTGAGGGCTAGCGATGACAAGGTGCTAGCGACTTGTGCTTTGTGTGCCTATGAACGCCTTGGGATGTGGTCCGAGAGCTTGGACTTGTTACAGTGTATTGATGAGCCAGATGTTGTTTGCTATACAGTCGCAATAGCGGCCTGTGCTCGTGCTGGGAAGGGGAAGGAAGCCGTTAAGCTGTGGAGTGAGCTGTCCTCACGCGGGCTAACTCCTCAACGTCAAACCCTCTCCTCTGTTGTACGTGCCTGTGAGGCCGCGGGTGAGTATGAGGAGGCAATTCGAATCCTCAGTAGCATCTCAGACTTATCGGCGAGAGCCGACGACGGTGTAAGAATTGGAAATAAGTTCGCCAGTAGCCGTCCCGAGCAAATCACTGTTGAATATAGAGATCTGCTCTGCGATCGCCTCGAGCTGTCCCTCCATGAGAGCCGTATAACATCGTCTGACGGGAGCATTGGAGTCGCTGACCACCGAGGTGGGAGAGTCTTCATCAATCATAACCTCAGCAGCACAGTGCTGCCGACGCCCAAACTTCTCCATGTGCTCAAGCCGAAGCCTGAGGAACGCTCTGCCGCACTTGAGGCCATCGAGCGTTTGAAGGGTGTCCTTGAGTCAGTCGGCTTTACGTGTGTCGAGTACAGTGCTGCAGCTGCCGGCCTTGCTCTACCCAATAGTGACGTGGACGTAACGCTCTTGTCGAATGGTACCCCATCTACTCAAGCGTGGCTTTCGAATCTGTCTGAAGCCGAGAAGGAGACTTATCCACC